GTATACAAAATAATGACTTTCATTCTGGCAACTTCATACAGATGACCATACTTCTCTTTCACTCATTTTTTCCATTGTTCACTGCTCTCCAGCTTATCTTCTTCGGCTGTTTCCGTTTCTTGGCTCAGTTAGGACTTAGTTTAGCTTTCCCATTACATGTGTTCCGATACTCTATTTTCCATTTATCTTCCCACCCTCTCATGAGCCCCTTCTGCGGTTTATGAAAAGTGTTTCTGCTGTTATTGGATGCTTACCAATTACTACAATCCAGGGTGACTCATTTTCGGTCATATTCATTTTGTGTACAGTCCCATTGCTGTTAGCATTTACCACCTCTGTCATCGGCAGTGACAGTATAAAAGAAGAGTCATGGAATGTAGGAAAGAAGTACAAGGATGCTGCACACAGACCAGCTGAATCCGTGACTTATCCATGTCACTCCTCCACTCTGTTCTTTATTACTTAATCTCTCTAAAATGGGAATTTTAAAATAGACAGTCAAAGTTTTTGTACGTACTAATGATAGTAATAGTGAGAACAAAGTTCAAGGATACAACTTTATTCACAATGGCCTTAACAAAAATCTTGAAGTAAATATGATCCGGGGGATGAAAAACAAAACAAAACAAAATAAAAAACAAAAGAAAACCAAACCCATTAAAACATTAAAACACTGAGAAAATTTTGAGGAATGCCTTCCCATGCTCAGATAGGAAGAATTTATAGTGTGAAAATGGATGTCATAGCAAAAGTGATTCACATATTCAATGCAGTCGAGGTTATAATTCCAACACCATCCTTCAAAGTAACAGAACAACCAATCTTAAAATGTATATACGGAGTAATCCTGCAAAGCCAAAGTAATCCTGAACAATAAGAGTTACAATGGAAGTATCAACATTCTTGATTTTAGGTTAACTGTGGAGCGTTGTGATAAAAAAAACATGAACCCAGAATAGGAACAGACATGTAGAACAGTAATAGAGAACAGAGGGACTAGTTTATGATTCCCCATGACAAACATCTGATGTCTGACAATTTCCAAAAATACATACTGGATAAAAGGCTACAGTTTCAACATGCAGTAATGAGACATGTAGAAGATGAAACTAGACCCTTATCTATTATTCTGCACATAAATCAAATCAAAACAAACCAAGGAACTTAGTATCAGACCTAAAACAATGCACTGAAGAAAAATACAGAGTACATTCCATAATGCAGGCATAGTCATAGACTTTCTAGATAAGACTCTAGTTGCTCAAGAAGTAAAACATATAATCAACATATGGAATAAAGAAAAAAATTTAAAAGGAATGAATGGAATATTATGACATTGAAAAACTTCTCTTCAATAAGCATGTCTGTTACACAAGTGATGAGGCAGACTAAGAATGGGAGAAAATGTTCAACAGCTATATATGTCATAAAGAATTAATATTCAGAATATACAAAGAACTAAACAATTCTAAACATCAAAAAGCCAAACAACTCAATCCAACAATAGGTTATATGACTCAGCAGAGAAGTCCTCAAAAATAAATAATAATTGTGTTTATAAATTTTTACAATATTCAGGAGAGGGTAAATTCATAGCATGTTTGGATGTTGATTTCTACTGTGTTTGGGACCATAGTCTTTATTCCACTTCTTCTGTTTGTCACTTACAATCTGGTAACTTCAGTGAGGAAAAATGAAATTACAAAATTTGTAGGTAAACAAATGGAGCTGGAAACAGTCATTCTGAGTGATGTAACCTAGACCCAGAACATCACATGTTTTCTGTCATTTGCTGGTGTTAGCTTTGAATCTTTAGATACACAGATTTCATTTGGAATACAGAGGTCAGAAAATTAGTAAGGAGACATGGGGGTAGATTTCAAGGGTGGGAAGAAATAAAGCAATAGTATAAAATCCTAAAGGGAATCCATGGAAGAGAACAGGTTCAGTTGAGGTGGTTGTAGAAGGGTCAAGTAGAGGATTGACTACAGGGAAAGATAAATAGCTCTAAAATCCTCTTGAAATTGTTGTACAGAAGCCTACCCACTACTGGAGAACTATCTAAGAATATGGACAAATAAATGAATACAAAGAATTCAAATGTACTTACACTACAATGGGATAACAATGATGTACTGGACATCACAGGGTAAAAACTAAAAAGCCAGATGCCAAGAGTGGCTCTCCTTTTGGAATTATTCTTCAGTGGGGCTCCGTAAGTCCACAAACATTTAGGCTAATGCCAAAGCTATTGCCTTTCTTTTAGAACTTGACTGTAAGACTCTATTGCTCAAGACATCACATATTTTATTTATTTTTTTCCTTATTTTACATATCGATCCCAGTTCCCTCTCCCTTCCTCCCTCCCTCCTTCTCTCCCTCCCTCCTGTGCTGACAACCTTCCCATTCCATTCCCTCTGCACTTCACAGGGAGGGTGGTGTCTTCCAGGAGGGGTCAACATAATCTGTCAAGTCATTTGGAGTAGGGACTAGGCCCTTCCTCTTGCCTCTAGGTTAAGGGAGTATCCATCCATGGGGAATGTGCTCCCAAAGTCCTTTTGTGCACCAGGGATACATCCTGGTTCTACTGTCAGAGATCCCTTAGACTGCCCAGGCTTTCTGAGACCCATGTTCAGGGGGTCTGAGTCGGTCCAATGCTGGATTCCCAGCTATCAATCTTGGGGGCCCATTGGCTCCTCCTTGTTCAGGTCAGCTGTCTCTGTGGGTTTCTATAGCCTGGTCTTGTCCCCATTTTCTTATCATTCCTCCCTTTCTGCATCTGGATTCCAGTTTGGCTCAGTGTTTATCTGTGGGTGTCTGCTTCTGTATCCATCAGCTACTAGATGGTGGATAAGTTATTTGTCAATCTCATTATCAGGGAAGGGCATTTATGGTAGCCTTTCCACTGTTGCTCAAATTGTTAGTTGGAGTCAATCTTGTAGGTCTCTGGACATTTCTCTAGAATCAGTTTTTTCTTCAAAACTATAATGACTCCCTGTTTTATGCTCTCTCTCTCTCTCTCTCTCTCTCTCTGTTTTTTATTCCTCCCTGACTCAATCTTCCTAGTTCCACATGCTTTCTTCTCTTCCCCTTCTCTTTCTCCTAACTCCCACTCCACTCACTGCCCACCCCCCATGTGCTCAGGTGATCTTGTTTCTTTCCCCTTCTGTGAGGGACCTTGTATGAATCTCTTAGATTCCTTCTTATATCCTAGTTTCTAAAGACATCATGTAGTAAGCTACAAAATGCGAAGATATTAAGCTGATACTGACCCAAAAGTTTCTCCCCCACTGTATAGTTTTTATAGTGCTTGCCACTGGAGGAGAAAAGTAGTCAACTGTGAACCCATTGGACATATAGTAATGACTAGCTTGGCAAGACTGGTTCGATATAAGGGTGGAACAAACATCATGAGGGCAGCCAATTGGGTGACAGAATGCTGTCTGAGTAAATGCAACACAGATACCACCATCGTCCAACTTGGTGACCCAACTGGTTTTATTGGGGGTTACTTATGCGAATATGTGTAATAGTTTACTCACGGGAAGAGAAATAATTCAAAGTCAGCTGTGTCAACAAAGCCCACCTCAGCATGGATGACAACTCATAAAACCCAGAAAGCTAGAGCATAATGTGGACCGTTCAGGCTTCTCTACAGGTTGGAGAATTTCCTTTCCAGGTGGTTCAGTTGACTCAGCTGGGCCTTGTTTCTTTTAGGCTGCTTTCTGGCCTCTACTTCTTCTAGGGGGCAGGTCTTGTCTAAATGTTTCCCTTGTACTCCCTCCTCGGAGAGTAACACTAGGTAGTTTTACTGTTTGCTATTTGGGAAGGAGGGATCTAGTGAATTTGGTCAGTTTTGGAGACATCCTAGAGCTATTTGTTTACTTTCTGTCTTAATGAGCTTCCCTGCAGGGTGGAATGGCTCAATCCCAGAGGAAACTGCTACCAAACCCCGAAAATTTTCTGATTGGGTTTTAGTCCTCACAAACTGAAGCCAATACCTGACACCATTGTTGGGCAGAGAACATGTGACTACATGAGTTATCAAACCCAGTAGAGACTCTACTGCTAATATTCTGCTAAGTAAACATACTAGTCAATTGATTCCTAGTGTCTTGTTATATTCATAGATCAATGCATCTCTTAAAGTGCACCATAAAAGCTTCTCTGCATAGATGGTGATTAACAGAGACTAACACCTGGCCAAAGGTGCAGAAAATAAGAGCTCATGGAATGCTCAGGTGAAATGTAACATCTATGTTGCAAGTGGTGTTCTCATTGAGCCCAGGGTTATTGAAGAAGAAAGACTGGGTGGAATGACCACAAGAACCAGAGGCAATGAATGAATCTTGGGGAAATAGTGTCCTCCAGACACAACAAGGGAGCCAAACAAAGAATTCACAGTGGTTATGATGGTATGTACAAGCCCCATGCCAATCTCACCAACCAAATCCCAGCATGATGGTGGGAGATGAACTCTCACCCCTCAGTGAGGAGCTATTAGCAATTGGTAGCTACTGCAAAAGGGACAGTCACTTTTCTTTAAGAGTGCTGCCATTAGTAGGGTGACCTTCCTCCAATGGAAGGCCATACATCAATGAATTTATTGCCAGCACTAACTGGACTCCATACATGGGAAAATAAGAGAACACAAAGTCTAGTAAGTAGGAAAGAAAGGGTGGATCTCACAGGAGATGAGGGAAGAGGTAAATATGATATAACCTCATTGTGCCCAGTACTCAAAGAACCAATGAAAATAAATTTAAAAAGAAAAGTCATAACAAATTAGAGTGAAAATGTTGGGGAAAGTGGCATACTTATTCAGCATTTCTAGAAGTGTGAACTGGAGCAGCCACTGTGGAAATCAATGTGGATGTTTTTTAGAACCCTAAAAACATGGAAATGCTATGTGACCCAGCTGCATGACTCCTGGGAAGGACTACCACAGACACTTGCATATACATTTATTATTGATGTTTTGTTAATAGTTGGAAAAGGAATCAGCCTAGATATACGTAGTTAGGTGGATGAATAATGAGAATGTGATACATGTTAACATTGGAATTTTCTTCAGCTATAACGCAATTATAGAAAAATTGATAAAACTGGAAAATATCAAACCAGCAGAGTTATCCATGACCCAGAATGACAAATGCATAATTTTTCTCACATGTGTGGAATGTATCTTTAAATTTTTAGACAAGTGTGTTTAACTTGGAGCTTCCGTAGAGGTCAGGATGCTGGAAAATAGCAATGAGCAGGTAAACAAAAGGACTGTAACAGGGCAGGTTATAGAAGGAAGCATGGGTTTAAAAAAGTTAAATAAGGAGTGGTTATGGAGTATCAGAAGAGAAAGAGTAGAAGTTTAAATAAAATTAAGTCCATATGAAAACACGGCATAGAAACTTACACTTCACATTAATTAAAATACATAATGAAGAAGTTTGAATAGGTATTATGCATAGGTTGATAATGCTTCTGATAGAAGCCATAGGTTATTACATGAAGATCCCAGTTCCAGGTGTTAGAAATCTATCTATATGTCTTTGGACTTGAAGGCTCTACGGGAGTCTTTATACAAAAACAGTACAGGATATTGGGATCACTGTTTGATTGCCATCAGAACAAGATGGTAAGACCTTATTGGTGAATGCAACACACTGTGCTTACAGGACACAAAGAAATTTCACCAGATTGGCACTAGAAGCTTCTTCCCTGCTGGAAAGTTTTCACAGCACCACATCATGCTATGCAGGCTGATGGGAATCAAAGGACATCAATGTTCTTACCCCGCTGTTGTCCCTGAATACTACAGTACTGGTCTTCCAGGTATGGTACATCCACTGGAGCATTGGTGACTTGACTGTTATGGGGAAAATGAATTACTCACTGATTGGATAGGAGCCCTGCTCCATGGATGGGAATTTATGATTCATACTAGAAACCTGATAAAGAACCCATAGCTAGGGTGGTCATAGGGCCTATGAGGAACCTTCTACTATTGTTTCGCTAAGTGAAAACATGTCATGACTACATTCTATTTATGCTTCTACCTATAGATTAATGCTGATACCAGGTGTGGTCGGAAAACATTTTCTTTTTTTCTGACAGTGGATGGTAGTTAATGCAGACACCCACTAATATTTAAGGTTCAGAAAGGAAATGACTGTTGACTCTCCATGCCCAAGTGGTGTATCTATTTAATCATTTCCAAGCCTCTGGCAATATTGTTTAAGAGGAGTAGGAAAAGATATCATGGTGGGGGATGATGAGTAGTGTTGTAAAGTATAGTCTAGGATATGACACAGTGACTACACTCATGAACATACATCAGCAATGGGTACCTCCACAATGTGGGCATGTCAATATTACATTGTGGATGGAAGAGAATATGTTGCTGTATAATAGAAACCCTTTCCTCTCCAGCTTGCTTTTTGATAATGGTGTTTTGTTGCAGAAATAGAAATTCTAAGTCAGTACCCTTGGGGAAGTCAGAGACCTAATCATAAGTTCCCTTTTTCTACTATATGAGTTTTAATCATTAAATTATGTTAATCAGGCATGTATCAAATGGTCTATACAAGCTCAGCTATCTTACTATCCCCATGAATCCCTTTTATAAATACAGTTTATATAGTGCTGAATGGGAAAGACTATTATTTTCTGTTGATAGGTTTTAATAAAATTCTACTTTAACATTAAATCATGTCCACATGACTTTAAAGAGCTATGATAAAACTCTGACACAATTTTAGCTATCAACTGTGTCATAGGAAGCCTATGTTCAGTACCATTATGAGAAAATATTATAGATATTCTAGAAATATGCTTTCTGCCAATTTTAAATTTTGATGCATTGCCATCAGATATGATACAAAGAGTTATCTGAGCTCTTTGAATTTGTAGTATTTGCTTTGTGTCCCCCAAAGTGGTCTATTTTAGAAAAGTTTCAGCTACTTCAAATCTGCAGGGGTGAAGGTTTGGAACTATGAGATTTCAATGGGGGAGGACCAGGAATAAGAAAATAAAGACTACAGAAAGCAGCAACTTTGTTTAGCAGCACTGTGTCTCATATACTGCTTTCAGTGGGAAACATGGAGAAAGTCAGCAGAGAACTACCAGCAAGAAGATTATCAGGCTATGTTGTGTGAAGAGAACGCAGGCTATCTGAAGTGTGTCCCATACTAAGCACACGGCAGCCTTGGGACTGATAACGATAGCATTTCAGGGGAAAAGTAGAGTTCCCAAGAATGAAAAACTTGACTACTTAGAAGTCCTGGGTCCAATTCCACTGGGCAAGGACATAGAACTAAAGTTCCTTTTATACTCTATGGCCTCAGATAGAGCCTTGAATTTACTTTATCCCCAGTGCTTTCATGTGCTGATGAGAAGAATGTCTATATCCTTTGCTGTATGTTTAAAATATTGTGTAGATATATGTCTATTGGTGAAAGTGGGATATTAAAAGTGGGATATTTATCTATTCCTCAGTTAAAGGAAATCTAGGCTGTTTCCAGGTTCTGGTTATTACAAATAAAGCTGCTATGGACATAGTTGAGCAAGTTTCTTTGTGGCATCCTTTGGGTATATGCCAGAGTGATATAGTGGGGTTTTGAGGTATCTGTTTTGGCATGTCTACTGTTGTTGTCCTTGTGTAGTTCATGTGTAGTCAGTCACTCTGGTGAAACTTCATATGTGTAGTTTATGAGACTAGTAGGAGGCACAATTCCATATCAAAACTCCTCTATCCTCTGGATCTTACGATCTTTCTGCCACCTCTTTAATAATGTTCCCTGAACCTCAGGTATAAGTATCCATTGAGACTGGGTTCAATAACCCTTTAATTTGACTGGCTGTGGTTTTCTGTAATGTTCTCCATCATTTGCAAAGAGAAGTTTCTTTGACTAGGGGTAAGGACTACACTTATTTGTGTGTACAAGCACAAATATTTGTAGTGTAGTTAGGAATTATGCTAAATTACTAAAAATGGTGGCTGTAGGTTTTCCTTTAAGATCTATGATTCATTAACCCTGGGTAGTTAGTTAGGTTTCTAGTACCAGACATGATCTTCCACTTGATGAGACATTGTTAAGTCCAACCAGAGAACTTTTGGTTATAGCCAAGGTATGAATGCCACTACTGCATCCTTAAAATAAACATTTAGTGACTGATGGGGGATGTCCCCACCCTTTTTTGGTGGTGCCATGTCTGGGCTTTTGATACTTTGTTCTTAAGGCAGGCAGAGCAAGCCAGGAGGACCAGTAAGTAGCATGCCTTCATAGTCTCTGCCTCAATTCCTGCCTCCAGGTATCTGCCCCATTACAGTTCCTTTTCTGACCTCCTCAGATGGTGGATAGTGATAAGGAAATGAGAGACAAATCAATCCTTTCTGTCTTGACTTGCTTTGGTATTAATGGTGTTTCATACTAGCAAGAGTAACCTTAACTAGAACAGGTCTGTGGTGTGAAAGTCATCTGCAGAGAGAGAAAGAGAGAGCTACTGGTGCCATCAACATGGGAGTTGAGACTGCAGCAGCCATGCCAGGAACCTCACACCATTCTCTCAAGGTTCAAATATCAATCTGGCCCTCCTAGAGGCAGATTCTAGCAGACAAGAATTGCCAGGAGGAAATGGGATTTGGAGGGGTTTTGGGTTTTTTTTGTTTGTTTGTTTTTCTGTCTATGTGATACAGCAGAATAAAAAGGGGGAACAGGTTTGGAGCTGAGAGGAAACAAAGGCACAGAAACACATGCAGAAGACCTATGCTAATGACTGATATACATAAATTCCATTAAAAAGAAAGCAATAAATTCATTAAAATAAAGAAAAGTGTGAGTGTGATAGGACCTCGTTTTATTTGGTGGTAAATGATTATGATGCTCAAACAAGGATGGCTCCAGAATTTCTGGTGTACGATTTTTACATACACAGTGATTTTTCTATGTTCTGAAGTCTACAAACTAATACAGATTGATTTCCTATAGAGTAGATATTTTCTTATTATGTCTTTTGTCTTTTCTGTTTACTTTTCTCACGTTTCTCAGCTAAATCATCAGGCGAAGGTTCAGCCACATGTGCTGGTTTAGCTTCTGGCTTGTGCATTTCTTCTAGTTCGAGTTTGTACAGTTATTGTATATTTTGTAATTAGGAAAATCAAGGTAAGGAACAAAGCCAAAAAAAGAATAAAAAAACCTAGTATGAACTTACCACCCTTGGGCTTCTTAAAATATATCCTTGGAGGTGGTCCACTGTCTATACTACCTCCAAAGCCTTTTATCATACAGTCTGGTGGTTTCCATTGAGCATCACAGTGGCAGTGATGTTTATTGTTACAGACTCCTTTCATATTGCATTGGGATGCTGAACAGTTACTTAACAAAGCAGGCTTATGGGCACACTTCCTGTCAATGCAGATTTGATCTTGACCACAAGCTGTGCCATCTCTTACTGCTCCACTGTCCTCTACTGTCATTCCAAAATGAAAGTCTATACTCCAGCAGGTGACATTGTTGAAGTGAATCCAATGCACTGTTTCATGGCTTCTTCTACGTGGAATCAGTTGCACATTGTCACACTGAATTCGTCCACAGAGTACATCAGCAGCAGCACAACTTCTATACTTTAAGCTATCATTACCACAGTTACCAAAACGGTCACCCCTTGTATTCATTTCCTTGTAACAAATCTCTCCTGCACTCTTGGCTTTCCTACCAAAAAGCTTCCAACAGTGTTCTTCATGTCTAGGACATGTCTTATTATAGCAATAACCATCACCCCTGCATGGGCTTCCATTTTCCATGTACACATCTTCTGGACACTCAGCTGAAGTTCCATTGCACCATTCTGGAAGGTCACACTCACTGTTCTTTTCTCTACACACTGTGCCTGTGGAAATGAACTTGCAATCTTTGCAACAAAGTCCAGAAGCACATTCAGCACCGGGTTTGAATGCACAGTCTTTGCGACAGCATGGATCTCTTTGACATGACTCAGAGGGTCCACAGTCGCACTGCTCTCCATCCTCAACTATATAATTCCCACACCAGGTCAGGTTTGTGGTGATGCTGCTTGCTTCATCTGGAAAACTGTATAAACAGGTTCTTTGGGTAACCGTTGAAAACAGCTTTTCATAACTGCAGTTGCTGAATCTGTGGGAATTAGATTTTGCTGGGAACATTATACATCTCCGTCTCCCACAAGTACATTCTCCATCATCATGAAGCATACCCAAATTGTGACCCATTTCATGTGCTGTAAGGAATGCCATGTCTGTCATTGTATCATATATGAAACTGTTAACAGCACAATTATTAGGTGTACAAACTGTACCTACATAAGCTAGCCCCAAATATTGAATATAATCTTGCCTGGCAAAAAGATGTGCAATGTCATTTCTAGTGTGTCTGTCAATGTTTATTTTCTTCCAATTGCAGAAATTAGGTAGGTCTTCATATATAGATTCTGTTACATTGACTTTGTTTGTTATAGTCCAAACTTCCAGTGCAGTTAAAATCACCTCAACATCTATCTGACGATAATAACCATTTAGCCCATGGACAATTTGCAACATTTCCTGCATACAAACTGTGAGATTACTTGCTCTATAAACATATCGTTTATTATCAACCACCACATAATATTCAAGATATTTGTGATGGGTCCACCAGTTCTCATACTGGCTTTGCATAAGCGTGGAGTCTTTGCTTTCTTGAATCTTCATTTGTCGTGCTATTTCCTCTTCTGTTAACCCACATCTCATAGAAAATGATTCTGAGTCCTCACTGTCCATTTTGTAAGCAAGGTGTTCAAATGTGGAAGTTGACTTCTTAGGCATGATTTCATAAACTGTGCCATTTATCTCTAGTGTGCCTTGCAAACTTCCCAAACAGGTGTTAATAATCACCATGGAATCTGGGTCTCCATCTACATCGCCATGATAGTAGCAGTCAGTCTGCACAAAAGGCTGTTCTGCAAGGAGATCACCTTGGTCAGTGTAGGTAAACAGCAGGAAGTTTCTAGATATGAAGTATTTTGTGGGTTTCATGGTGATAATATGTCTGTCCCTTCCAAACTGTAGGCTATAGGACAACCAGCCTGTGGAAGTATTAAGTCTGTTAGTGTCAGTGACCCTCAAGGGTATCACTACTTCAGGAGGGCTATTGTATTTAGCATGTCCAGTTGGGGACCATGTGGAGAGGAAGAGCATCATCCACAGACAGAATTGAAAGACCATGATCCTCTCATGGACCAGGACCTCATCCACAGTCATTATGTCCTGTTAGACAGCAAAGAGGGAGCATGAGATGGCTTGCTCACCTCAGTTTGTCAGATAGTATGCAGCACTGGCTTTTTGTGGTATGTCTTCTGGCAGAGTTGGACCATCAGAGCAGCAGAAATGAAGGAAATAGGAAAAAGAATGGCAGATATGGCCATATGTAAATCAGAATCAAATCATGTTAGAGAAGAAAAGAATGCAGAATGGGCTAAAATCAACTAGTCTTTTTCTCCAAAGGGTTTCAACATTGTGCTTGGATCTTTTTTCTTTATTTGTTAGCAAAGCAAAGTACACTTTATTTCAGTACAAATATATTTCTAATACTCTGCTAGCTTTTGGTAATATACTTACATTTTTAATAACTTGTCCTTATTTCCACATTGTTTCTGAATGTTCTAATTTTCAACCTTCCCTTAATATCAATGTAGATTTCCTTAGCTGAAAAATGAGATTGTCTTTGCTTTTATATATACATCTATGTACCTACCTGCCTATCTATTTATCTACCTAGTGATTTATATTGTTACTCCCTTCAAACACTGTCCTGCTCGTTGAGTACATTTGTATGTTCCTTATAATCTTGCCTTGTCGTTGTGGGTGGCAGAAACTTCTATGAGGATAAAAATTATTCTTATTTTATTACCATATTTTGGTTTTAATATTGTTGCCTGTGAGTCTGTACACTAGTGTTAATGTGAACTCTGCATGCATCTCAATATGTGTTTGGACGTTACACTTCATCTTGGATAGTGAGTCTTCAGAAGCTATACACATTGCTTGTCCAATTACTTCTTAAGTTTAGTGTTTTATTTATTTTTGTTTGCATATAAGTGTGTGTGTGTGTGTGTGTATTTGTGTCGGTGTTCTTGTGTGTGTATTTGTCTTTTTGTTGTTGTTTCTAGAAGTCAAGAATTAGCCTTGGATGTCATTCTTAAGGCCTCATCCACCTTGGCTTTGAAACAGAGTTGATCAATGACATGGTGCTCACTAAAGAGGGATGTGCTCATTAAAAGAGAAGAATGACAGGCCAGAATGCCACAGCAATATTCATATTTCTGCCTCCTATTTTGTGGCACTGCAATGACAGGCCACTGACTTAGTATATACATAGCTTTTAGGGATTATTTTCCATGTCTGTATGCTCTCAGAACATTCATTTTACCAAATGAACAATCTCTCCAGTCTGGTATCATAATCTTTAGTGTGCTATTATTTTGAAAAATTAAGGTAGCATGTAGAGTACTAAGAGGTTAATAAGGAAAAGCTTCTATAAAAGACATTTAAGGACAACGAAACCATGATTAAAACTTTGACATGCTAATTATTATCCAAATATATTTTGATTATAAAAAGTGTATTTCTGATGTAGAGAAAATTATTTATTAAAAATGCACCATTTTTAGGATTGTAGCAAGAAAAACATGTAAAAATTAATGACTAAATCTATAGTAGTAGATAGGTTAAAAGCAAACCTTAAATATAATTAAACAAGTTGAATTTTGCATTTATTAAATTAATGTATACAATGATTCTAACATCCAAAAGTCTAGAGAAGCAATACAAATTTTTCTTCCAAAATTTGGTGCAATTATAACAATCTAGATTTCCTCTCAGATACCATCTTTTACCTATTCTCTTCCCACAATTTCATCAAATTTATCTATAGCTAGTCATTTACCAACCAAGCTATCTCATAATTTGGGATGTACTCTATTACACTAGAAGCTCTAGGTTCAGCATAATAAAATAGAAGAGAGTGAAAATATTTAAAGGAAACAAACCCCATTCTTAAATATGAACAATTGTCCAGGAATTGAGGGATGTATGGGTTCTCCTAATTGTTTATGCTTCTTACTGAATCTTCCAAAGTTTTATCACCAGATAAAGAGATACCTGTGTTCCTATGGTCTTGTTCACAAAACATTTGTAAAACCCATCTTAGTAACAAAGATTTTTGTTTGAGAATGCACAAAAGAATGTAAATCCTTTATTTGTCTCTTATGGAGTAAGTTCTAGATTCTTCAGCCTAGCAACAGGAGCCTCTCATTTAATAGAACCTGGCAACTGGTGAAGTTCTTCCAAAAGGTTCTACCACTTCAACCAACTCTTTCTTTTTGTTCATATTGTAATAATTGTTCCTGTTTATTTACTCAGTATTGACCATAATAAGGAATACTCAAAGCACTTAAAATTCTAGAAAATAATTCTACCCCTTTAAAAAATACTCTTAAGGAATCATGTGTCTTAATTTATCTTTCTCTGGTCAGTGAATATCCCAGAGACACAGAACACCTGCACATATAGATTCATTGTCTGTTTCATACAACTGTTATTAATCTAATGCATGAACTGAATTTAGAAGGTGAGAATTGAATGACAGCATAGGGATAAATTTCTTTGGCAGTGAACTAACTGATAAGTGAGAGAACATTAGATTAAAAGCCATGCATTTCCTAAGTTGATGAGTAACTGGGAACATGTTTATTTACTGATAAGATGTCTGGGAGCTTGTTGACCTGTTTGTGTGATTCATTGATTCTTCCATCTTTATTATTTTCTTTGAGAATTTTATACTTTATATTTTATTACATTCTTTCTTATCATGTATCTCCTCTCAGATCCATCCCCCTTTCATTCCACCAAGCTTCATGGGTTTTTTTTTCTGCCTTAAAACAAAACAAAAACAACAAAAATTGAAACAAACAACAAAAAGATACTAAAAAGTCTGGAGTCTGATTAGTGCTGGCCAAGTACATGTGATCATTGTGTCTGCCCAGGAATGAGTGAGTACTGAAGAAAACCATTTTTTTTCTTTTTCAGAAATTATCACTTGCAAATAACTTCCTAACTAAGAGTGGGCCTTTTGAAAGAGTTGTTTTTATGAAGTTTCTTCCCCCCCCCCCATACGATGTATTTTGATCATGTTATCTATTGGTGGCACTTTATGCCCACTTCTTGTAATTCTGTATGGATTGAGGTTGTTTTTCTGAGTTCATAAGTGAGTCCTATTGTGTCTAGAAAGTGTTATTTTCTTAATCATGAATAATTCCTGGCTCTTAGATGTTTCTATTCTCATTTTTACATTAATTTCTGAAGTCCAAGTGGATGAAGACATCCAATTTAGGGAGAATTACCCCCCCTAAATCTCTCACTTCTGCATATTGTTCAGTTTTAGTCTCTGTGTTATTTACTATTCACTGCTTGAAGAAGATTCTTTGATGAGAGTTGTTTAAAACTCTCATCCATGGATATAGCAATAGGTAATTGGGAGCAATATGTCATTTTATTATAATATTTTTTTTTGTAGTAGAATTATAGTTGTATATTTCCACCTTGGCCCCAAGACCTACCTATTTTAAACACAACCAATACAAGTATGGGTTCTAAATCATGGAGTGTAACTTAAATCCAATAAAATGTTGCGTTGGTGAGTCCCTGAACATTCTTACCACTATTTCCACTATTGTGCCTATGAGCATATCTTAATGGCAAGTCATTACTACAGCTTGGCATAGCTGGATAAGGTTGATGATTGTGTATCTATTCTCAAAGCATATATGGTACATGTAAGACATACGTGAAAGCTTGCCTGCATGGGTGAAGTCTCTAGTTTACTATCATCAATGTTTCTTCATATTGCATGCCATAAATAGGTTGTACCATCATCAGTAGCATCTTACCATTAGTTGTAGCTGGTAGCCACTATCATTAGCAATATCCTTTAGTGACTGAGTGTTTATGGGACCACTTTAGCTAACAACTGAAAAAGATGTAGTCCATTCTGGGTACTGGAAGTTTTATTTGGTAGCTTAAGTAGGGACATAGTCTAACCTATTATAACTGTGACTCCATTTAAGTTGTATGTATGTATGTGTATGAGTATGGAAGTACATGTTTCTATAGTAGTAGGTCTTCCTATGACTTTTCTAACGACTTCACTGTTAATTATCCTTCCCCATATTTCTTCATATATCCAGTCCTCCCATCACCCACCCCTTTTAATCAGCCTGCTCTAATTTCACCTTTATTTCTTTGTAAATTTGTATTCTATATTTTTTTCCAGGGCAGACCTTCTATTCCCCTTAGTCCCTTATTAGACACATAATCTCTGTGTATATTATAAATGAAACATACATAATCTAAATGATAAGTTTTAACATTATATCCACTTTTAAGAAAAATATGCGATGAATGTTTAACTTCCTCAGGATGATTGTTTCTAGCTATATCAACCTACAAGCAAATTTAACTTTTTTAATTGTTGAATAATATTCCACGGTGCAAATGTACTACATTTGCATTTTCTTTTCATCATCCTAGAGTCATTTGGGCTGTTTTTATTTCTTGTTTTTCTGAATAGGTCAGCTTTGAACATAAATGAGTAATTATCCCTACAGTAAGATGTTGAGTCCCTTGGGTGTATGCTCCAGTTTCAGATGGATATAGCTTGTGGTAAAACTATTTTTCTCCTTTTCAGGAATCTCCACGATAATTTTCAAGTGGCTATAGGAGTACGCACTCTACCAGCAGTAATTAACTGTTCCTTATTACCTCATCTTAATCAGCATGTACTATTTTGGGTTTTATTAACCTTGGCCATTGTGATGGGGATACATGAAATTTCCAAGTAACTTTAGTCTTTTGCTATTGAAAGTGGATTACAACTGTAAGCTTAGCAAATAGGGATGCTTTATAATTTATTAAAGTTGCCTGATGATTCAGAAAGCAAAGCCAGCCACAAACCAAAGATGCCAGGAATACACCTTTAATTCCAGCAGCCAGAAGTTAGGAGGTGGTGGTACACACCTTTAATCCCTGGACTCATGATGAAAGGGGTAGACAGATCTCTGAGTCCAAGGCCACCCAGATCTACACAAGGTTGATACAGTCCTAAAGACAAAGAGCTCACACAAAAATGATCTAGGAATCTGGGATAACATAACTTTAATCCCAGCATTAGAGAGATATATAAGACAGGAGAAAAGTCTTAGTAT